CGCTCCGTCCCCACGCTGATTTTGGGAGTGTAGTGCGTCCCCTCCAACCCCGCTGTTACTCTGTCCAAGCCAAGCTGCTCCCAGCGCTCCCAATAAAGCTTCCGAGTTATACCAAGTTGCATATACTTGGGGGCGGGACTTGGGGAGGGACTTGAGGGGGACCCCGCGGGGGGATCGTGATTGGGCGGGGAGGGTGGGGTCCAGGTGAGGAACACTGGGTGCTGCGGGTCTGCCCGGCAACTGGTGAGTCATCATAGCTGCTCTCTCTGATTGGCTGAATCTTCTTCATCGCATTCGCTGATTGGATGAGGAGAGGCCCGGGAGTTGAGAGAAGGAACAGGAGAGATCCCGCCCCGAGCACCGGAACGGGAACAACAGACCCAGCCTGGGCACGGCGAGGGAATTTATTACCAACCAAATCACAGCAGGACAAGGAGAAGGGAGAGAAATCTCTCCAACCCCTTTCCCCACCCAACGGAGATCACCGGGACCACGGATCACCAGGGCTCTGCTCAACGGGGGTCACTGGGGATCATCCAACACCGATCCTCCCATGGGGGATGGAGCTGGAGCTGAGCACGAAGCTCTTCCCACACTCGGAGCACTCACAGGGCTTCCCTTAGTGGTGATTCCGTTGGTGTTGGGTCAAGTGAAAGCTCTGTGAGAAGCTCTTCCCACACTCAGGACATTCGTAGGGCCTCTCCCTGGTGTGGATCCGCTGGTAGTCTGTCAGGGCAGAGCTCCACCCAAAGCCTTTCCCACATTCCAAGCAGGTGTAGGGCAGTTCCCCTGTGTGGATCACTTGGTGATGCAACAGGCCTGACCTGTCTCTGAATCCCTTGCCACATTCCTCACACTCGTAGAGCTTCTCCCCAGTGTGAATCACCTGATGCTGAATCAGCCTTGATCTGTGGCTGAAACCCTTCCCACATTCCAAGCACTTGTGGGGCTTCTCTCCTCCAGGAGGCTTCTCCACCAGCTCTGAGCTCTGCCTGGATCTCTGGCCGCCTTCTCGGCTCAGGGAGGGTCTTTCCTCCTCGCAGCTCCCTGGGATGGGTTTGCAGCCCCTCCTCGAGAGGGATCACTGGGGCTTTTCCTCCTCCTCCATCTGCCCAGGTCTTTGGGATGAAAAATCCTGGTTTGGAGGAAAACAAAAGAG